GATACAGAGTAATAAGCACAATCCCTATCTTCAAGATTCTGGAAAAGAGAGGAAAACAATCTCATAATTACAACAAAAAGAAAGAAGGACTTAGTATTGAGTGCACTAGGTACAAGGCAATACAGAGGTGAGCCCCATCCTAGTTCAAGGGCTAGTTCCCTGCACCAAAACTACTCCCTTACCTGCTGGGCTCCTCTTCCACATGGTGGGCCCAGAGGACCAGCATTTCCTATTCCCGTTTCCAATCTTCAGCCTGGAAGTTGGTTCATAAAAGGGTTCTAAGACATATGGTCTGAATGCTATGATTTCTAAGGCTTCATTCACTGAATTAACATAGAACTAAGCAAATAGGAGAAAGAATTCCTTGTTAAATGTATAATTGCAATCTATAAAAACAAAGGAGACTTCAAGGAATGTGCTAGGCAGGGAGGCAACAGTTCCTGGGAAGTCCTTGGGCCCCAGGGTATGCCAAGACTCCTTACAAAAGAGAAACTGTTCCTTAATATCCTGAACAGAGAACCTCAAAGAGAAAAAATGAAGTGTCCTCATCAAATACTCATTGGATGAACAGTACATGCCTACAATGTGCCAAGCATTGTTCAAGAGTGATCACAACAATGAAAAAGACACAAATTTCTTTGCTCTCATGGAGCTTACATTCTAGTGGAAGGGAGAGAGAATTAAAAAAAAAATTCAAACTATAAAGTATGCTAGATGGTAAGCATCATGGAGAAAAATAAATTCAAAGGCAGCTGAATGTACAAGGGTCGGAATGCAAGCTGGTGCAGCCACTCTGGAAAACAGTATGGAGGTTCCTCAAAAAGTTAAAAATAGAGCTACCCTATGACCCAGCAATTGCACTACTGCCTATTTACCCCAAAGATACAAATGTGGTGATCAGAAGGAGCACATGCACCCAATGTTTATAGCAGCAATGTCCACAATAGCCAAACTGTGGAAAGAGCCCAGATGTCCATCGACAGATGAGTGGATAAAGAAGATATGGTGTGTGTGTGTGTGTGTGTGTGTGTGTGTGTATGAAACATTACATATAGTAAGATATGGTATATATATGGAATATTATATATATATAAAATATATATACATGGACTATTATAACTCAGCCATCAAAAACAATGAAATCTTGCCATTTGCAATGATGTGGATGAAACTAGAGGGTATTATGCTAAGGGAAATAAGTCAGTCAGAGAAAGACAAATATCATACGATTTCATTCATATGTGGAATTTAAGAAACAAAACAGATGATCATAGGGGAAGGGAGGGAAAAATAAAATAAGACAAAATCAGAGAGGGAGACAAACCATAAGAGACTCATAACTCTAGGAAACAAACTGAAAGTTGCTGGAGGGGCGGTGGGTGGGGGATGGGTTAACTGGGTGACAGACATTAAGGAGGGCACTTGATGTAATGAGCACTGGGTGTTATATGCAACTGATAAATCACTAAATTCTACCCCTGAAACTAATAATACAGTATATGGGAACTAAATTGAATTTAAATTTCAAAAAAGGGCAGCTGAATGTATAAGGATGAGTGTTGGTGATGAGGGAAGAGTGATCCTCTCTGAGAGGGAATGTGTGCATTAAATATTTTTGGAGATGAAAAAGTGAGCCACGTGCACACCTGGGAGAAATGCTTCCAGACAGAGGGAACTGCAAGTATACAAGCCCCAGTCTATTCAAGAAATAGCCAGGCCAGCATAGTTCGAGCAAAGCAAACCAGTCTGGAGAGAGTAATGGGAAATTAGGTCAGAGAGATAAAAATGAGCAAATCATTTTGGTCCTTATAAGCCATTGTAACTGTTCTGGTTTGGCTTGGTTTTTGTTGTTGCTCTAACATTTTTAACTGAAATATAACACACAGTGACTCTTTCCATATTTTGGGTATTGTGGACATTGCTGCTATAAACATTAGGATGCAGGTGCCCCTTCGAATCACTATGTTTGTATCCTTTGGATAAATACCTAGGAGTACGAATACCTAGGATAAATACCCTGGGTCATAGGGTAGTTCTATTTTTAACTTTTTGAGGAACCTCCATATTGTTTTCCAGAGTGGCTGCACGAGCTTGCATTCCCACCAACAGTGTAGGAGGGTTCCCCTTTCTCCGCATCCTTGCCAACATCTGTCATGTCCTGACTTGTTAATTTTAGCCATTCTGACTGGTGTGAGGTGGTATCTCATTGTGATTTTGATTTGTATATCCCTGATGGCGAATGATGTTGAGCATCTTTTCATGGGTCTGTTGGCCCATTTGGATGTCTTCTTTGGGGAAATGTCTGTTCATGTCTTCTGCCCATTTCTTGACTAGGTTATTTGTTTTTTGGGTGTTGAGTTTGATAAGTTCTTTACAGATTTTGGATACTAGCCCTTTATCTGATAAGACACTTGCAAATATCTTCTCCCATTCTGTGGGTTGTCTTTTGGTTTTGTCAACTGTTTCCTTTGCTGTGCAAAAGCTTTTTATCTTGATGAAGTCCCAATATGTCATTTTTGCTTTTGTTACCCTTGCCTTTGAAGACATGTCTAGCAAGAAATTGCTGTAGCTGAGGTTGAAGAGGTTGCTGCCTGTATTCTCCTCTAGGATTTTGTTGGATTCTTGTCTCACATTTAGGTCTTTTATCCATTTTGAGTTTATTTTTGTGTACGGTGTAAGAAAATGGTCCAATTTCATTCTTCTGCAAGGTGTCCATTGACAGATGAATGGATAAAGAAGATGTGGTATATATACACGATGGAAAATTACTCAGCCATCAAAAAATGAAATCTTACCATTTGCAATGACGTGGGTGGAGCTAGAGGGTTTTGTGATAAGGGAAATAAGTCACTCAGAGAAAAACAATTATCAAATGATTTCATTCATATGTGGAATTTAAGAAACAAAACAGATGATCATAAGGGAAGGGGGGGAAAAGTAAAATAAGACAAAGTCAGAGAAGGAGACAAACCATAAGACTCTTAACTCTAGGAAACAAACTGAGCGTTTCTGGAGGGGAGGTGGGTGGGGAATGGGCTAACTGGATGATGGGCATTAAGGAGGGCACTTGATGTAATGAGCACTGGGTGTTATATGCAACTGATGAATCACTAAACTCTACCTCTGAAACTAATAATACACTATATGTTAATTAATTGAATTTAAATTTTAAAAAAGAAAGGAAATATAACACACAGCAAGAAAACTGTACAAATCCTAAGTGTGAACTCAATGAATTATCATAAAATGACTAAATCTGTGTATCCAGACACAGGTCAAGACATTAGCAGCACCCCAGAATTCCCCATTTATGCTCCCTCCTACCTGCTCTCTCCCTCCTTCTCAAAGGTGACCACTGTAGTGACTTCTAGCAGCAGATTTGTTTTGCCTGTTTTTAAACTTTCAATAAATGGAATCAGTTATAAAAATAAAAGCAAAATAAATCTCTGCTCAAGATTTTGCTTATGATATTCACCCATGTGGTTCCTAGAGGGTAGAAGGATTAAGACGACAAATAAGGGCACATTAAACTCCTGATGGGAAAGATGTGGCACAGAGGGCTATTGCTTGCGGTGTGTCTGTGCCCAGCTTCCACAGTCCAGGAAGGAGAGAGCAAACATGAGCTCACCCAGGAGCTAGCTGAGTGTCAGGATCTCAAGAGATATTTCCTCCCCGCTCAGATCCTCTCCTGAGAAGTAAGAGATCTGGAGAGGGCTGGGGTCATGGCTGCAATTACTTCTTCACTGATTCACTCAAACATTTCCAGATCCTACTTCATGTCGGGCACAATGCTGAGATACAAAGATAATTAAGACATGGTCAGTTAGACAAACGAGTTAATAGGACTACAAAATGGTATGGTAAGTGCTAAGTATTTGCAAAGGATGCTAAGGAAGCATCTTTTTAAAGAATCATTGTGACAATTTCACCTTTTTTGCTCAAACATTAATGGCCCTGAGATAGGCTCATGAGAATATCGCCATTATCTGTCCCTTTGAAATTGTATTTATTACTTTTTTTAAAAAGTCTTATTTATTTATTTTAGATATATAGAGAGAGTGTGTGTGAGCAGGGCAAGGAGCAGAGGCAGAGGCAGAGGGAGAGAATCCTCAAGCAGACTGCCTGCTGAGCGCAGAGCCTGATGTGGGGTTCGATCCCATGACCCTGAGATCATGACCTGAGCCAAAATCAACAGTCAAACGCTTAACCAACTGAACCACCCAGGCGCTCTTTATATTTATTACTTTTATATTTATCAGTTTTATCTCCTCAACTAGACTATAATCTTTTTGAGAATAGAAAAGATATCTTCTGCTATCATAAGAAGAGCACAAAGTAGCTGAAGTCAGAAGAGTTGGGTTTGAATCCTGACTCGTATTCTTTAGCTGGACAACCCTGGGAAAATGAATTAAACTTCTATGCCTCAGTTCTTTTATCTATAAATGGAGATAGTAATATTCATCCTAGCTGCCTCCTAGAATTATAACAACATCAAAGGAAATAATGAATAAGAAGAGCTGTAAATTCTTATTATCAGTTCTCTAAACCCCACAAAACTACTATGTTGAGCGTAGTAGGTAATCAGCAAGTGTTGAGCTTTCACTAAACTTCATCAGCAAAGACTTGTGGTTTTTGGAGCCTAAGCCAGGGAGTGGATGCAGTTCCCTGTTCCCCTCTACCTTATGCCCAGAGAACTCAGAAGCTGGAGTCAGATATTGTGGCCATGACCCAGGAGTGACCGGCAAGTGTGGGAGGGTGGACTGGGCCAGAACCATCTGGGCCAATGACCCATTACCCAAGAACGCCACACATTTTGTTGGGTTGGAACCTCTGTGATTGTCCATTTCAACACTTCTCCTAACCCCTGTCTCTCTTCCTCCTATCTCTGGGCTTCAGTATCAGAAGGCTCTAACAGACGGGCAGAGTTAGGGGAAAGGGTGTGGGAAGCAGGGAGTGGGCAGAGGGGGATGGTTATAGCCGTTTCCCTTCTGTGCTTACAGGGAACACAGCTTCACAAGACGGCTCAAACCCACTGACGGTGAATGGGGTTCTGGGGGAGTCGGTAACTCTTTCCCTGAAGCTTCCTGTACATCAGGATATTGAGTCCATCACCTGGCTTCACAATGGAAAATCTATCCACTTCATATTGCCAAAAGCTGCTCCGGATTTGCGGATCTTGGTGACTGATCCAAAACGGAAAGATCGACTGCAACTGATGGAGAACTACTCCTTACAACTCAGCAACTTGGCAACGGCAGATGCAGGACTTTACTGCGCCCAGATAACCACACAGACCTCCACAGAGTTTTCCTACTACACTCTGCAGGTCTTCAGTGAGTCAAAGCGTGGGGTTTAATTGTGTATGTACTGAAAGGTGTTACAGATGTCAAATCCTATGTGACAGCAAGTGTAGCCTAGTGGTTAAGAACATGGCATTCGCAGTCAGACTGAGGTCTGGCAGAAAAGCAAGTTGATGGCTCGGCCAGTTAGTGGCAGAGCGGAGAATAGAACATAAGTCTTGCGACTCCTGGCCTCAAATCACATCACGCTCGCTCACACACTAAAATATTCCCTCTTGACCTGAAATGTACTGGAAGGAACAGAAGTGAAGTCGCTATGACTCTGTTTCCTTGTGCATTCCCTGTATCTGTAGTATATTCTTCACAACAGCTCCATGAGGCAGGTACCACCCTTACTCCCAAGGCCTCGGGTCAGTCCCAGCAACCTGCCTACGGTCATGGAGACAGTAAGTGGGAGAGTGACATGTACCTGACATGAGACCTCCCTTTACACAAAGGCCAGTCTGACCCCATGGAGTGATCAGTGTACAGGACAGAACTCTACCTAGAAAGTGCTCTGTAAGGATGAGCTGATAATAAGAAAGATCTTTTCTATCAAGGTTATTTAACTTCTTTTTTATAAAGATTTTATTTATTTGTCAGAGAGAGAAAGAGCACAAGCATGGGTGAGAGGCAGAGGGAGAGGGAGAAGCTCCCTGCTCAGCAGGGAGCCCGATGTGGGACTCGATCTCAGGACCCTCGGATCATGACCTGAGCAGAAGGCAGATTCTTAACCAACTGAGCCACTCAAGGTTATTTAATTTCTAACACTACTTTTTCCAGATGGCTCATGTCCTCAACATAAAATTATGGAAACCATGAGACAGCTTCTGAGTCAGTATTAGAAAAAAAAAAAATCCTTCTAGCAATCAGTGATGTTCAGAGATGCCATGAATGGCTTTAAGATAATTCCTTGGTGGGAATGTTGTACAGGAGATTCAAGCATTAAATTGGCAACTTTAAAGGCCACCAAGATTCTATAATTCTTATCTACTCCAGAATCCATGGTATCTAAAATTCACCCAGAGTCCTTTGAGTTAAGACTTGGAATCCAAAAAAAGCACTTTAGTTAAAATAAAATGTCACCACAAATAGGTTACGTGTGAACCTCTAGAATCCCCTGAATATTTGGTGGATTTACCATGTTAGATTGGTCAGAGTCATGTCCCTAAAAGAATAGGACACAGAACAGGTAAATATGAAGGGAAAGAAAGATTGTTTAGAAAAGTCGGCAACAGGAATTCCAAGCAAAGGGGCAGAATCGCCCTGGGGCAGTTCATTAGTGTCTGGAGGCCTCCAAAACAAAACACCACAAATTTGATGGCTTAAAACAACAGAAATTTTATTCTCTCACAATTCCAGAGGCCAAATGTCCAAAAGCAAGGTGTGGGCAGGGCTGCATTCCCTCTGGAGGCCCTAGAGGGCAATCTTCCAGCTTCTGGGTGCTGTTGGCATTCCTTGGTGTTTGTTGGTCTATGACAGTATCACGCCAGTCTCTGCCTCCTCCTTTCCCTGTGTGATCTCCTCTTCTGTCTCAAATATCTGCTTTCCTCTTACAAGGACACTTGTCATTGGATTTGGGGCCCACCCAGATAATCCAGAATCATCTCCTCATCTCACTTAATTACATCGGCAAAGACCCTTTTCCAAATAAGATTCTGGGAATTAGGACATGGGGATATCTTTTGGCCGAGGGATGGGGGGTGTCATCATTCAACCCACTACAGGCAGGATCACTCAGTGTACCAGGATCATCAAGGCACAGCGAGGACACTGGAGAGAAGAGAGACATCCAGTCAAAAGTCTGAGAATAGACCCCATATCAGGCTCCATCATACTTGTTGAGACAATGTTCTTCTGCCATTCTTCAGAAGACCAAGCATGACTTCTTCTGCAATAATCATACTCCCCAGGTTCAATGCCAATCCCTTCTCAGGGCCTTTTGGTATCAAGAGTGCCAGGGAAGAGGGGTGAGTTCTAAATGGGGTGGTCATAATAGGCCTCACTGAGTAAATGACATTTGAGCCAAGACCTCTTGGAGGTGAGGGAGTGAGCCACGCAGATATTTGAAAGAAGAGCCATCCAGCATAGGCATTCCCTGTGCCCAGCATGCTCAAAGAGCACCAAGGAGGTCCAACACCAAGGAGCAGAGTGAGGGGAGAGTAATAGGAAACAAGGTCAGTAAAGAAATAGGGGCCACATCTGGTAAGGCTCTGAGAGCCATCACAGGGACTTTGCGTTCTACTCTGTGAGACTGAGAACCATCAGAGGGTTTTGTAGAGCAGTAATATGATTTGACTTACTTGCTTAATGCATCCCTTTGACTGCTCTGTTAAGAATAGGCTCTAGGGGACAGTAGTAGAAGTCAATTACCGATTAGGCCACTGTGACAATCCAAGCAAGAGATGCTGCTGCTTTGCCCAAGGGTGGTAGCAGTAGAGGTAAGGAGAAGGGGTTGGACCCTGGATATATTTTGGAGGTAAAGTTACCAGGATATCCTGATATGGTATAAGATGAAGAGGTAAGTCAGTCAGCTCCAGGGCTTTTGGCCTGAGTGTCTGGAAAGGCGATTATCAACGAGGGTGCTGAAGGCTATGCACTGAGCAGGTTTGAGAGGGAAAAACAGGAATCCTTTTGAACATGTTGAGTTTGAGATACACATTATATCCAAGTGGAAATGTCACGTAGGCAGTTTTATACTCATTAAGTGGAAAAAGGCAACAAGATAGATTTTTGAGGTCAGCCATGGACACAGGTTGACGGAATGTGGCATTCATGCCAAATATTTGCCATTGCTGCACTAGGCACTGTCTCAGTTAATCCTCATAATTCCCTAAGAGGTTGGTATTATTGCCCAGGTTTACAGATAAGGAAACTGAGGCTTGCAGAGATTAAAAACGTATCCGTGGTCATGTAACCAGTGACAAAGCCATGAGTCTAACCCAGGTCTTCCTAACTCCAAATCCAACACTTGCCATTACACGAAATCTCCTTTCTGTCAACATATGTCCCACGTCCTAGTCTATTAACAAAGCTTAGAGCATTCCTCAATCTCTTCCCACCAGACAGTGGGAGTCATTCAGTTCTCCATTGGGCCACTGTTACCCTCAGGCCAAGTCCAGGTCAGCGGCCTTTTCTGCACCACTCCCATGTCCCCGTTGATTCACAGCTACTGACATCTTAATAGCCAATATTTTCTGGTCTCTGCTCTCAGAAATTTCTACAGCAGATGTTCTCTTACATGCCTGAATGTATTGTACTTCTTTGCTTGCTCATTCAGTTTCACTCTTTTCCCTGTTTTTTCAGTTCTCAACATTTCTCTTTCTGACTTGCTGGCATTCCATATCAGAGTCTCTTTGTCATCATGGGAACCAGCATCTGATACAATGAGGCCCAGGATTCCTGCAGATTTGTGAGAAATACAGTTCCTCAAGGACGTTAAGCTTTTATCTTCTATTCCAGCTAGGGGATTCTGATGGTTGAGAAAACAAGGTTCTTGAGTCTGATCTACTGGTTTCTGCCCTGGCTAAGGTAGAGTTGACCCTCAGCTGAGTTCCCAAACGTCTTTACACGAGGCCAGTGTACAAGGCTAGAAAGGACACCAGGAACAAACTGGGGTCCAGAAAGTAAATCGAGCAGCCCAGAATCATCTAACTAGGTGGTGGCTACCCTGGTGTGTCCCTACCACTTCTCCCTCTGGCTACTCTGTCTTATGCTGATGCCCTTCATCATTTGGCCACCCCAGACCTTGGTGCCATCAATTAGGCAATAGGGGCCGACTTAGTTACAGACGACACATACCATAACACACAGTAGAGTGTTGGATGGAATACAGAAACATTCTGTGGCGGGAATGATATTTTTCACAGAGTGCTGAACCAAGGCGTTTGTTCTGAGTTCAGGTCTTCTCTCTGCATGCAGGACGACTGAGGAACTTACAAATTGCCAATCACACGTGGCTGTCTGAGATTGGGACCTGTGAGATCCACCTGACCTGCTCTGTAGAGAATTCAAATGACACCTTCTTAAGGTGGCAGGTTGTAGGAAACACGTCTATAAATGAAGCAAACCTCACTATTTCCTGGGACCCCAGGAATTCCAGTGAACAGAAGTTCACCTGCATAGCTGAGAATACTGTCAGCAATATATCCTTCTCTGTCTCCACCCAGAGTCTCTGCGAAGGTAACAGTCTGTCTCAGGTCCCTCTGAGAGCCTTGAGCAGCTGTGGGGTGGGGTGTGTCCCTCCTGCCCAAAGTGATTCCCCAGAACAGTGGCCCAGTGGGAGGCAGCCAAACCCTTCTGGGAGAGGACAGACACTCCTGCAGCTCTGTGCCTCTCACTACCTCCAGAGGCCTCTCCTCCCTCTCCCTCTCCCTCCCTCCCTCCCCCAACCCTTCCTCCAGCCCACTCAGAGCCCAGGAGCAAAGTCCTTGGGGAGTCAGAACTGCTCCCCATTCTGGCTCTACCATGCTCCTGTCCTGTCTGCCACATGGACTCCCACTCTCAGAAAATCTACCCAGAGCCAGGGCCCAGCCAGCCCCCAAAGGTGGCCTAGAAGAGGCTCAGTGGAGGCTCTGAGGAAAACACTACCTGCTTCAAGTGCAACTTCTTTTTTCTTTTTTCAGGTGTTTTGAATATGAAAAATCACCCTGATACCAAATGGATTATAATTGTGGTTGTGGTTACTTTGATATGTATAGTCATCACTGTGGGGTTACTTGTTTGGAGGAAAAAAGATTGTTTGTGGAAGACAGGTAAAGGGAGGGAGGATGGTCCACTGGGACAACCCCTGGGATGTGACCACACACCTGCTAATTTCCCAAGGAGGGTGGGTCCTACTGGAAAATGCATGACCAAGCCTCAAGGCCTGACTGCCCTTCCCCTTCAGCACCGCCCCCCGTATCCTCTAGAGAGACACCTGTGGGTGTGGGGTAGGGTGTGGGAGCCACTTTCACTACACTCACAAATCTCAATTTCCCTGATTTTATTTTTCAGGCATCTTTCATTTTTCTACTCCACAAACCCAGAGTCCTGGTGAGCTTGCAGACTCTTAGCTCCCAATCATAAAACAGAAGGGGAGAACCTAATGGAGGAGGAAAAGGGCTGGTCAGAGGGCTGGATAATGAGAGAGGAGGGGGTCTGAATGTCATTACTCAGATGGACCAGATGGTGCAAAAGGAGACGACCTGTAACTATGCATGTCTGTCCCCTCTGGGACCTAACGGGTCCCTTACAAGCATGCAAACCAGTCACTCACCCAGTTTCTTGGAGTGGGATTAGGGTCATTTCCCACCCTGCTGATGAGAAACTGGGTGCCAGCAAAAGGTTCATGGCCTGTTCATTATCAACCAACAACTCCAGGGCAGGGACAGGTTTAGAGCATCAAAGGTCCAAAGACAAACCGCCTGACCCCATCACTCTTTCAGCCAAGACTTGAACATTGAGTAGACCCAGTCCAAAAAGAAAGTATGATTTAGAGACAGGAACACAGGCTCTGGCTTCAGATTGGCTGTGAGTCTCATTTCATGGGTGAGAAATAAACGACATGGTATGTAGAAGATGAACATGAGGTTCAGAGTCAGAAGGCAGGCATCCAAGTTCCTGTTCCATCACTTCCTGTTTGACTTTGTGCCAAGTTAATTGAAATTTCTGAGCCTCCAGTTTCTCATCTATAATATAATATAATATAATAAACATAACATAATATAAATCTAGAGTATAATCATCCATAGTATAACCATCTATAGTATAATCATTTATAATATAATATGAGAAGTTTAATAATATTATATATGTGACATAATTTGGCTCCAATACGCTTGCCAACAAGGTTCTCTAGCCCTTGTGCAGGCAGTGCTATTTGGTCTCGGGAGCTCCCTGGCCCAATGTAAATCCAGAGGGAGACTCTGAAGCTTTAGGATACCTCTAGACCACACACCCCCGAGTGATGAGGTCAGAAATAGAGTACATGGCTGAGAAGGTTCTGGTTCAACCCAGAACTTCAAAGACTGTCAAAAATGAATGAACCCTAGGGAAGGGGATTGCCTTGAACAACTGCCTCTTTGGATCCAAAAAGTGCCCTGGTGTAGGCCAAGGTCCCAGGAGACCAGGACACTGACTGTGCCTTCCTGTGTTAACAGCAGAGACCATAAGGAACTTAGATTATGTCTCCGTCTCTCCAGGGAACACCGTGTATGCTCGTGTCACTCATCCAAACAGGGTGAGTCCTTTCAGCTTTATACTCCATCATTGGTATGATTTTTATAGTCTTTATTCACAAACTTGTCACCACAATCATCTGACTAATCCAATGACACACACCTTTGAGGAGAGGAGGGGCAGTGGCAGAAGCTAGGATGTTGTATGTGGGACATAGCTAGCCCCCAGGGCTCAAGCCCCGTGGTGTGTTTGCTCATACCCTGCTTTACATGGTCCTCTAACTGCGTGATGCATCAGTGTCTTGTCCCTTTTCAGCTTAATTACAAGCTACCTGAAGTGAAAATTACATCTTCTTCCCTCTTCCCTGAGCACAATGTGCAGTAAATACTTGCTGAATGGAACAGACTCTCATGTAAGTCTGAGAGTTTCCAGAGCAGACAATTCTGTAGCAGGGGATTTCTCACCCTGGATGTAGTGGAAATAGGGGAACTCAGAAGCAGTCTCTCAAGAGGGGAAGTGGGGCAAGGATTTGCAACAGTAGAAGACAGTAAAGGCATGAACAGCCTTCAACCCTCCCTTCCCCCCTGCAACATAACAGATGGCCTTGGTCAGCCACCAGGAACTCCTCTGCCACACATCAGCAATTTCCCACCACCCCCAAAGTAAAGCACCTGCAAGTGAACATTTCTAGATAATACCATACATCTTCTGAAAAGTAAGCCAAGATAACTCAGCATTTACCAACTCATGGAAGCAAAGATCCAGCTAGAAATCTTAGATTCCCCAAGTGAATGTCCCTTCACACAGCCCCTCGCAGTTACTTACAAGGTAGGCTCCATGAAGAGAGGTAACAGGAAGGGGTATTCTTAGTTGTTCAAATGTTTCTATTGCCTTTCCAGTTCCCTTTTGAAGACTAGATGAATCACCCTCAACAAACAAATAAATTAATCTCCAGCAAATTTGCTAACTTCTTCTTTAGCAAAAATTATACTTTGGAGAGTTCCAGAGGTTTTGATAAATAACCTAAATATTCCTTTTTTTTTTTTTAAAGATTTTATTTATTTATTTGAGAGAGAGAATGAGATAGAGAGAGAGCATGAGAGGGGGGAGGGTCAGAGAGAGAAGCAGACTCCCTGCCGAGCAGGGAGCCCGACGTGGGACTCGATCCCGGGACTCCAGGATCATGACCTGAGCCGAAGGCAGTCGCTTAACCAACTGAGCCACCCAGGCACCCAACCTAAATATTCCTTAATTAGTTTTAAATGTCAAACTTATGAACACAGGGGACTTCTGCTGTTGTTGTGTACTTTGTATTCCAAGTAGAACCATTCTTGAGACTGGTTGTTCCTCCTACTTATCAGTTCCCCAGGCATGAGGAGAACCCAATGGCATGAGAACGAGGCAATTTGAGTCAAGGGACAAACTTGAAGCAGGCAATAGCTCCAGTCATAGCTAGTAAAGATCTAAGACAAAAGATCCAAAACTTCTGTACACTTCTAGTATAGAAGTCAGTTCTTAAAATGGAGGAAGGAGAGTAGAGTCGGATGCAGGAAACAATGCTTCCTTTTCTTCACACCACCTGCCAACAAGGTCGCCCCTCTGTCCCTGTCTGGGTCTTGAGCCACTGGGTTGCTGGGGTGTTGTGCTTCCGTGTGGGCCTCAGGAAATGTCACTAAACTTCTCAGGTTGAAGAGCTAGTGGTGTTTGTCTCCAGCTCCTCTGGCTACACAGTCTCTAGCCTTTTCCTCCTGAAGAACTTTGACATCATCCTTCTATATCGCATTGTCTTCCCCCAGAATATATCTACGCATGAATATCTCTTCGTCTGTGTGAGCCAAATGTATGATTATTTTTTACAGCAAACAAATATCCTAACACCTGTGAAAAGCAGCGATTTCTCCACCATTTATTCCACAGTTCATCAGTACAAAGAGGTAAGCCCGTGATTGTCCCCTGTTCTCACATCTTACCTCTCTCCCCAGACTTGTAACTTCACAAATAAAGTACAAGTAAAGGGGCCATTCTATAGATGCACAAATACCAGCAGGATATAGAAAGCCTCAGGACATCACCAAAACATATCCAAGAAGTTATCTTGTATTTTAGGATCACCACCCATAACTAAGTTTTCAACGTACTTGAATTTAATGAGATTTTTTAAATTCAATTTTTAATTTAACTTTGCCTTAGCTATCAATATCCTTATCTGCCAGTTAGTGCTCTCCAGACCTTCTCTATAGCCATGAGAGGTAGCCTGAGGCTCTGGTCCCTACTAACCTACTTCATTTTCCTCTTTTTTCCATTAGAGTATACCTATTTCTTCCAGGACAACTGCCCTTGACAACGTCATCTAAATTGCTGAGAGGTCTCAAAAGGAACTCAGGAATGACACAGCTTCTCCTGATCTCATGGGAGAGAACACAGCTTGGTTTCTGCCTAGCAACAGAATTCGAATATTTAGGATTATCACTTCCAGTTCTTTGGACTAGAACCTGCTCAAGTATGTCAGACATCTAAGGAACAACATCATTTCCAGCGTGTGATCCAAATAACATTTTCTAATCTGCTCCAGGCCAAAACATGCTTCCATGAACAAGCCTGGGCATTGACTTTCTCTTTGGCAGCTGATGGGATTGTGCTTGACAGAGAGTTATAATTCAGAAGACAGCCACTCCTCTCCTTTTAGAAAGGAGCAGGATTGTGATTCACTGGGAGAGAGTACAGTATATTTGTTATGTATGTTGTCTCTGGAATTGGATGGGCCTTGTCCCAAATCCTCATACATCACTTACTAGACCTACCTCCTGGAACATGTTCTGGAACCTCTTGAGGTCTGGTCTCCTAGACTGAAAAATGGGGATCAGCCTGTTACTCAAACCGGGAATCAGAGTTAGCCTTGACTTCAGCTGTTCCATCACCAGGCCCTTTGGACTCTACCTCCAAATACGTATCTTAGACTGACCCACTTCTCTCCAAAACTTTAACCTCCACCCTATATTAACCCATCATCATGTCCAACCTGGAATACGACAGTAAGCTCCAAACAGATTTTCCCAATTTTTGTTCTTATCTCCCTCCAATCCATTCTCTAAAAGACAGCCGGAGTAATATTTTTAATATAAACCAGATCCTTCACTTGTCTGCTTAAAACTGACCCTGCAAGACATCCCAGGCACTCCAGAAAGAAACTGAGTCTCTGTGGTTCTGGATGGCCTGGCCCATCTGCAGCCTCAGCCACCATGTCTCCCTCCCACCCCTCTCTGATTTGGCTTCTCTGATTCTTTTTCAGCCCCTCCATCAGAGGAGAGAGTTTGCTCACATCTGCCTCAAGACCCTTCTCTGCCTGCCTGGTTCCTCCCTACTCTACAGGTCCCAGTGCACATATGTCATTCTCCAAGAAAGACCTTCAGACCACTGTAACTGAAGTGGATCCCCCTGTTATTCTGTCACACCTTCCATGTCATTTACATTGTGCCGTTAAATATTTATTTGTATTTAATGTCTGTTTCTCCTATTCTACTGTACACTCTCCAGGAACAGGGACCACGACGATTTTATCTCTGTATCCGGAGCATCTAGCACACAGAAAATGTTCAACAAATACTTTTTAATAAATAAATGAACATGTAGTGGAGTTTTGTGAGAATTAAAGACGATGTGCCTGCAGCTCTTTGCGTGGGGCATAGCACATGAGAGAGCTCGATAAGTGTGAGCATCACTGTGGCATTATGACATTGCATTCCTCCCGAACCGACAGAATCTTCTCACAAACCCTCCTCACAAGAAAGGAGGAAGGATGCATCCTCTGTCACCTGGTTCCACATCACTTCCTACCTTTTATCTCTGCTCAGATTTTAAAATTTCATTCTTTTATCCCCAGGGAAGAATTTTCTGATTTTTTTGTGTGAGTTTGAGATCTTTAAACAAATTGTTTTTCAACACTTTATTGAGGTATGATCGACATACAAAAAGCTGTCTGTACTTAATGCACACAACTTAATGAGTTTGGAGATAAGTATATATTTGTGAAACCATGACCACAATCAGTACTATAAACGTACCTGGCACCACAAGATGTTTCCTCTAACCTCTCTCTTTTTTTTAATTTTTAGTTTTTTGTGTGATAAGAACACTTAAGACCTATCCTATCGGCAGATTTTTAGGTATACAATACAATATTGTTAATGATAGGCACTATGATGCACAGTGCATCTCTGGGACTTATTCCTCATGCATGACTGAAATTGCATGCCCTTTCTCCCTACTGTGCAGAGCCAGGCTAAGTGCTGAGTCACCAGTCCAACTTCCCCAGAGCAGTACGCAGACATGCCAGGATAATGGCTGTAAGCTTCATTATTCTCCTTCCCTGCCGAAGGAGCAGTCCGGGGCTATGTGCATTCTCCCAATCCTGCAGAGCCAAGCCAGCTTCTGGGTTCCTGTGCTGTTTGTAGGGCATGCATGAACACGGGGCAATGGGGCGCCATCTGCAGGGGCGGACCCAGGCCAGCTGCTGGGGTCCACCAGTGGGCCAGCTGATTGGCAGGGTCCATGGGACGGTTTTGGAGATCCACGTGTCAGTTGCTGTGAGCCCCAGCCCCTTTTCTTTGTCCTTAGCTGCCCCTCAGTGAGGCAGAAAGGCAAATACCCTAAGCATTCTGGGGAACAGGAGCAAGTCTCTCAGGCCCGTTTGTAAAGGCTGGGGAAGCAGGACACTCATTTCACTTTCTGTGTCTCCTGTGGGAGGAACAACAGACTGAGGGAGACTCTCTAAGCCCTGAGCTGTGCCAGCCTGGGGAGTAGGTGATGTAAGTAAAGTCAAACTGTTCTCACCCTTAGCAATGTGGCTGTTCTCAGATTTTGTGCTCCTCTGGGGTGCTAAGACCTCTCAACGAGACCCTGGAACTCTCGTAAAAGTATATTTGTCCACGAATGGCTGTTAAATCGGTATTCCTGTGGGAGGGCAAGGGCTGGGCCCTCTTATTCCACCATCTAGCTGATATGAGTCTAATACATCTTTTTTCAATGTGTCTTTTCTGATCACAAAAATAAATACATGCTCTTTATGTGGAATTCAAACATTCCACAAACAAAAATCCCCTATAATCCCCAAGATTACTACCACAAATGGTTCCCTATTAAAGAACAACTTTTTTACCAGAATGAAATATTTTTTAGAATTTTTTTTTTTTTTTGCTTAAGAATATCTCTTAAGGGGCCTGTGGCTGGCTCAGTCGGTGAAACCTTCAACTCTTGATCTCAGAGTTGTGGGTTCCAGCCCCACACTGAGTGTGGAGATTACTTAAAATTTTTCTTAAAACTTTTTTTTTTAAGATTTTATTTATTTTAGAGAGAGAGTGTGTGTGTGAGCAGGGGAAGAGCAGAGGGAGAGGAGAGGGAGACAATTTCCAGCAGACTCCCTGCTGAGCACAGAGCCTGACACAAGGCTCAATTCCTAGACTCCGAGAGATCATGACTTGAGTCAGTCACTTAACCGACTGAGCCACCCAGGCACCGCAAAATTTTAAAAAATCTTTTAAAAAAGAATATATCTTAAGCAACTCTCCAGTGTTAGAACATATAGTTGTGCTACATTTTTTTTTGCTTTTGATTAATTTTTATCAGTTTTATCTACAAATAGTTCAAAGTCAAATAGTGCTTTAAAATGCATATAACAAGGGAGCTCCTGGGTGACTCAGTCAGTTAAGCGTCTACCTTCAGCTTGGGTCATGATCCCAGAGTCCTGGGATGAGCCCTGCATGGGGCTCCCTGCTCAGTGGGGAGTCTGCTTCTCTCTCCCCCTCTGCCCCTCCTCCTTTGCCCCCCTGCTCGTGCACGCTCTCTCTCTCAAATAAATAAATAAAATCTTTTAAAAAAGATAAAATGTATATAACAGCTAACTAGTTCTTGTTTTATATTCGCCTCTCACATACTCCCCCTTCTACACACACACACACACACACACACACCCGTTATCTATTGACTTCTTACCTGTTTAGATTCATTCTTTCCCTATTCCATCCTCCTAATATGGAGACATCTCAGTTTTGGCTGAATACATATTCAAATGCTTTCATCATTACGCCCCTGTAAAATGCTGTTGGTTACTGAGTCAAGAAGTGACTATGATTACATTTCCCCTCTTGTACAATTTTTAGTTTTTCTTGGAGTTAATTGCCTTATTTTCCTCTTTGCTTTATTTTCATTAAACATCTATATTCCCATGTCCTCCATTAGCTCTGTAAAAGCGATTTTCAATATAATTTTCCACCTAGTTAAATCTGTTAAATAATTTATCAGCTTTATGTTCTTCTAGAGGCAGCCCTACTGGAGCATCTGACCTCCTACTCCATCCTGAGCTGGTTATTTTCTATGCCTGATGCACAGCCATTGTCTTGGGAGCCCCTTTGCTATCACCTTTGACAAACTTTTTTACCTGTCTCCTCCGTGAGATACTCCAACTTTTGTATCCCACTATTTCCTTTATATATTTCCAAATTATTTAAATAGCTACAGTAATAGCATATTGTTTTGTGATTTTAAACCAATAAAATTCTTCTTAAATCTTAAATCTATTTTTAAAGTTAAATGCAAAATTTTAAACAGGCCAGGACTGTTGGGGGGAGCTCATGTGCTAGAAACTATGTGATAGAGACCAGCTCTTAAAACCTCAAGATTCAGTGTGAAGGGGTGGACGAGCTTGAATAGGGAATAGACGAAATAGTGGCTGCAAACAATAGATGAGCTACACAAAATTCATCAAAGCTAAATTAATCTCACATACTGGCTATCAATTATATTATCAGTCAGTGGAATAGGACAGGACTGAGAAAATTTGATCAGGAAGAAGGAAGGACTTCTAGGAACAGAGTCGTGGAGGCATCAAGGAAAGACAAGAAGGTTACTGCCATCCCATGCAAGATGGCGTCAAGCTCAGAGGAAATCTCTTTGGGTAGGTAAAAGAATGTTTTCCAAACCAAGGGGATCAATTAACAAAAAGAAGACTTCCTTCAAAAAGGGAGAAGGAAAAATCTGTGAGAAGGAAAAATCTGTGAAATCAGGGTATGTAGAGAAATGTTTTCAACATCTAGGATGCCAAAAAACAGCCAGAAAATTAAAGATCATGTCATGGAAGGGATGATAATCTATCTAGAGCAGTACGTCTACAAGAATCCACCCTGAGACTGGACAGCACTGGAGAGGATCACTACTAAAATGGGAACTAGACATGTGTCTATGAATATCTAAGAAGTGAGTGAGAAAAAAAGCTTATAAGAAAAACTAAGCTGACACTTCACTATAGGTCAGGTAATAAAATATAGAGTTCTTGATTTTTATATTTCCTTAAACCTTTTAAACAACCTCCATATTTATTCTCAGTGTCACACTCTCTTCTGTTGGCTTCTGTGATGCCACATCCTCCCACATTTTCCTCCTTCTTTACCAGCTGCTTCTCAGTTTCCTTCTGAACCTCTTTCTCCTCTGCAGGACCCATAAAGACTGGAGCTAAGCTTCAAACCTGGGCCCCTTTCACTTCTCCATCTACATGTTCTTACATGATGTCAACCATTTCCATTGTCTTAATATGATTTATATGCTAATGGTTCCCAAATTTATATCTTTAGCTCTGGCCTGCTGGCTTACATCACTAACTGCCTACTTGGCATCTCCACTTAGATGTCTAACACACATATCAAATTTAGGATGTCAAAAAAGAAAAAAAAAAACTAAACCTTTGGATTTCTTTCTCCAAGGCTCTTCTTCTACTACTCTTTCCCATATCAGTAAATGGCACCATTGTTAATGGGAAACCTCCTTTACAGGCCTGAAGACCACCCAACGCTCACTATATAATTAATCTTTTTTTTTTCCTTTCTGGTGGGAAACAAAAGGAATTAGCCAACTGTAAGTAATCTATTGTTATGAAGGTAAACACATTAAGACCTGGATGCCCCATTCCCAAGAGAGAAAATGCATTTTGCAACCAGGGAAGAAAACATTCAATGCCTACAAAATTCCTACAAAGCAAAAACAAGAACCTTTCTTTGTCCAGAAAGTAAGCTTGTTCTTCAATGTTTTCATTGTAGAATGGAGGAAACTGCATCACTGTTAAACTACTTTGATTGAGGGTAGAAGACTGTGATTGGCTGTCCTGGGAATATGAAAGAGAAGTCCTCTCCCCTTTTAAGCAGCCCCTAGTCACACCCACTGGCAGTCCCAAACCTTTGGCATGACCTGCTAGACACCTACTTACATCTCCACTCCTTCCACAGCATCCCAGCCTCGTTTTCATTTCCCTCCTAGAAGAATGCAAACTCTGCCTCTGTGCCTTTGCATATTCAATTCCCTCTGTGATACGTTCTACACACACATGCACATGCACAAACACACCCACACAAGCTAGCCAGTTCCTAGTCATCCTTCGGGACTCTGTATCATTTCTCCAGAGAAGCCTTCTCTGCCATATTCACCCTCACTATTCCCTCTAGTTCTCCAACCACTTATACAAATTGTAATTTAATAAGCATTTATGTAATTTTATGTTTGATATATCTAATATATCTCATTGCATTCTGA